CCCTCTTCATATTTATATTGGTTAAAAGTTGGACTCCTTGGAGAATGTAAATCATCAATTTGTTTTTTGTCAAATAAAAACATCATTTACTGAAAATCTGCTCTGAATTGTAAAATAAAAAATGCAATAAAACTATATTATTTAATTAGAAAATTTTTTAATTGCTTTTATAAATAAGATATATTAAGGACACTATTATCTTAAGAAAAAAATTTCTGATGAATAATGAATTTTTCCAAGAATTGTTTTAATTTTTTTTAATTTTAATTAGAATAATTTATAGTTTCAAATCTTTTTAAAAAATCTGTATTTATTTCATCTTTTTAGCTGATATTATTATTAAGTGAAAACTATATTTGATAATCATAAACAGAAAAGCTTAGTACAAATCATCAAACACCAATAGTTTTAAAAGTATTTTGAAATTTTTGTATGTGTATAAATGTGCCAATTTTTGTAGATACAGGCATCCATACACAACATTATCAGAAAATAAGTGTGATAAATATAGTAAATTTAAAACCAGAAAGTAACTAAAATTCAATAAAACATTAGTTTACAGAAAATGTTTTCTTAAATTTTTAAGATTACCGAGTACTTAAAAATTATATATAAAAAGGTGCTCATGTTATTTTCATGGCTAAAGCCATCATAGAACAACATTAGATAAACATCAAGATGTCAAACATGTCAACAGCTTAAATAAACAGCTACCATTGTGTTAAAAAATGCATTTCTGCAATATAAAATAATTTTTTTTTCAAATCAGATTAATTATACTTTAAATCAGCTAATGTTCCTCAAATAAATTTTCAAAAAGTATATCTTATTTTTGGAAGCTTTTTTAATAAAGAGAATTAGATTGCAGTGAAACTGGAAATATTAAATTTAATCTATTAGCTTGAAATTAAAAATAAAATAAAAGCTTGAAGAAAGATTTTTCATCTTTAAAAATTAATTTTAAACATTAGATATCACATTTCCTGTGGTGGTACCTAATGAAAATAGTTATATGAAGATGTTGAAATTAATTTGATATTCCAAAGGGAAAAATAAAATGCAAGCTTTTTAAGTAATATGATGTTTTTATATATCTATAAGTCTACCATTCATCCATTCTTAGAACATTGCTGCCATATATGATCTGGTGTCCAGCTATTTACCTTGAGCGCCTTGATAAGATCCAAAGAAGAATCTGCAATATTATTAATCCTGATCTGGCAGCTCAGCTCCAGTTACTTTCCCACCACCGTAAGGTTGTCTATGTCTTTTCTATAAATACTTTCATGGTAATTGTTCAAATGAGCTCTTCACTATGGTACCTATAGGTTTTGAATTTAAGTGCAGCACTAGACTGATGTTGAGAACTCATCAGTTTATTGTTTAGCTGGCTAGATGTAGCTATAAATTCTATGCTAACAGTTTCTTCTCTTGCACTTGTGGAAATCCCTTGTGACTATGGTTTTTGGGCAGGGCTGGCGAGTCAGAAGACAAAACTTTTGACTGACTCAGATTCCTTTATTTTTGGCACCTCTGACTCCTCTTTATGTAATTATAGCCTACAAATCTTGTGAGAGCCTATTTTTCCAAATAAATAGAACTCAAGTCAATAGAGGAGAGAGAATACATCTTGATAGAAAGGGGACAAATTGACATCAAGGAAGAGACAGTTGAGAAGGCAACAGTTACCAACCAGCTGCAGAGAGCCTTGTAGGTCTCGAGTGAATTTTCTCCTGAAGTTGGGCAACAAAGAACAAAAAGAATTTAAAGAAATTTTCCCAAGCATGAACAGTGTTAATTTAAAAGAGACTTTTCTAAATTTATTATAATGTCCCAGAGATGCTAGTGGAGAAAGTAAAAGTAGGTGTTTTCATTTTTTCTGAAAGGTAGTTGTACCTTTGCTTTTCTAACTTCTTGATTTGTTTTCTCTTTTTGTCATTTAATCCTTGTGTCTTTTCCCAAACTGCAAATGCTTTTTCTTCCATTTTTCAATGGTAGTCTTTTTCAAAATATCAGAAATTTGTTTTTCTACCTTAATAAGTGCACTAAAGGAAATTTTGGTGTAAATTTTGTATTTGTACCTTTTTTTGTCTTTACTTGTGTAATAAATATTTTCCATTAAATTTTTATGCAGTGGTTGAGTCTTGTTTTATTATTTTCACCTATTTTGATCTCAAGAAGAAGAGAAGCATGTGTTTTCTTTTCCTTTTCTATTCCTACTAACCTACAAAGTTCTTGTGTTTGATTTGGTTTGTTTTGTGGCATATCAACATCAATGGGTTACTTAATGCTGGCAAGATTTTTATTGCTGGTAATTTTTTTTTTCAAAAATGCATTGCTTGTAATATTTTTTTTTTCAAAAATATATTGCTGGCAATTTTTTTACAAAAACGTATTGCTGGTATTAAAACCTATTTTAACACTTTCATAGTATTTTGACCCCAGTTTGGGTGTTAACTATTTGCCCATAGCTGGGACCCTAACAGGTGCTACCACCCCAGGTCAGGGTGGACCTGGGAACACCAGCAATTAAGAGGTGGTTCCACGCTCTGCAAAACCGCCTGATCAGAGGCCTCACTGTTGGATGTAGTTTATCATCTTACCCAGGACACAGATGTAGTTTATCATCATACCTAGGATGATCTTGTGTTTGGCACAAGAATTTAGATTTGGTAGGGATATAAAATTTTTATAGATGGCCCAGAACTATTATTCTTTCTTGGAGCTAAATTCAACCAGAGCATCTTTATTCCACTTTATTAAATATTCATTAAATTTCATCCCACCCTTAATAAATTAATGCATCAAACATTCTAGAACAAAGAGTTTGGTTTCATTATTTAATAAAAAAAAAAGGGGTGGTTGGAATAACTATGTCCCGGGTGGATTTTATTTTTCTCTATAAATGGAATAAACTTCCTGGACCGTCTATTTGTGACTCAAAGCTAGACACACCCACCCGGAATAGGTTCACATTCTTACTGGTTTTCCAACCATTAGCTCAATAGTAAACCAACAAAGTTGAATGCACTTCAGTACAAAATCGATAGCACTCGTTATTAAATGACCAACCACATAACTGAAGAAAGCCAAACATCTCTATGCTTCGTAATAAGGGAAATAACTTGTTACTAACACGAGATTGCTTTTAGAGTTATCTCCCTTGCATCGTTAAATTAATTTAAATTTAAACTGTTTTATCGTATTTTTTCTATTTTCCATGAATTCAAATTCCGAATCATATATAAAATGTAAGAATAAATTATTAACTGTGTTCTAAATTTACTTGATTTCTCTGGTTTTGAGATGAATTGCTAATATTCGATGCACTTTGATGAGTTCAAGCAAAACTGTCTGTATGTATGTATGTCTGTATCAATTTTACTTGAATGCACCTACTATCTGGTAGCACTGTATTTTAATACACAGCATTAACACTCGCTATATGATCAACTAGAGATACTGGAAATCCACACCTTCATAAAACTTGTAAACTTTCAAACCCATATCTCCTAACCAATTATACCAAAGAGGTTAAAGAGTTTTTAGCATTTGGAAGAGAAATCAATTTACTTTGATATAAAATCAACTTGTAATACCATATTTTCTTGAGTATAATACGATCTCATGTTTCTGAAGCTAAAAACAGGGAAGAAATTACATTCTTAAGTTTAATACGACCCTGTAGTACAGCCATTCCTATGTAAATTTGTTTTGAAAAGATGTACCATATTATCCATTAAAACCTGAATGTCATACATATATTTCACTAAAATATTTAATTTTTCATATCAAAGAATCAAAATTAATCAAATGTTTAGCCATTGCATGTTTCTTCTCCTAATTTCCATTTCAAAACAATTTCGAATTTTCTGTGAAAAGTGTTTTCTAGACATACCTGATAATACATTTTATGGTGTTAACTAACCTACCATACTTTTTGTTTTGATATGACTTTATTATATTTTTATATATTAATAAACTCTGAAAATAAAGAAATAGTCTTTCATAAAGAATGAACAGAGAAAACTTTATAAAAAAACACAAGAAAATCAAAATATAAATAACATTTATCTTGTGAGAAAAACTGAGACAAAAGATGTTCAATTATGCTGATTCCCAACAAACAAATATGGCCGATATATCAAAAACCTCTTGCAAACAATTGTTATCAGCACTTGCCTATTTTGTTTTTTTATCTATTGTGCTGAGTATTTTTGCAATTTTGCCATTTCAAAAAAGACTTTTTTTAAGCAGAGTAAAAATTTCTGAAAATGTTTTCTTGTGTATAATCTGATCACAGCTTTTTATCCTTTGTTTCAAATTTCTCAAGAAAATATGGTAAATTTGCAGCAGTTTCTTCCTGACTGAGATATTTATGTAGTTTGGTTTGCATTTTGTGAATGGCAATTTTTATACATTGCACCACAACAAAATATTGGTTCTAGTAAGTTTATATTTCTATATATTAATAAACTATGAAAATAAAAAAAAATATCATCTTTCATTAAGAATGAAGTGAGAAAACTTTATTAAAAAAAACAAAGAAATCAAAAACAAAATTTATCTTGTGATCAAAACAGACACAAAAGACATTCAGTTAATTCAATGATTTCCAAAGAACAAATATGGCCGATATATCAAAAACCTTTTGTAAACAATTCTTATCAACACCTGCCTGCTTTGTGTTTTATTATCTATTGTACTAACTGAGTGCATTTGCAATCTTGCTATTTTAAATAAGAGGTTTTTTAAACTAAGTAAAATTTCTGAAAATGTGTACTTGTGTATAATACAATCCCCATTGTAGCCTTTAATTTTCATTAGAAATTTCTCAAAAAAATATGGTAACTTGATTTTCAATGGTCTTTGAGATAAATTAATTTAATTGCACTAACATTACATATTCAGATTTTTCAAGAATTTGGCCAGGACTCCAGGAATTTGACAATTGAAATCTTTTATGGGTTAACAGTGTTAAATTTTAAAATTTCTTTTACCTTGCAGCCTGAATATGCTTGTATCTAATTAAAAATACTTCTGTGAATTTCTCTTTGTCTGGATAATCTCCTATTCCACGTAGTTCATCAATTTCACCATGGATACTAAATATTGGAGCCAAATCTTCACCATGATTTATTGGCACTCCTTTAATAAGCAGATATTTAGACTCTGAAGACACAGTGTAGACCTAAAAAAAAAAAAAAAAAAAAGGAAGAACTTCACTAAATAAAAACAGTTAAGCGAAAATATAAACACTAGACCTTACAACAATGTTAGTCAGGAAAACAAACAACTATCTAATATTAATGAAAAAAATACCCTACCTAGGGAAATAGCAATTTATTCTACCTGCAAATATGCATTCCACTTTTTTTAAACAACCAACAAAGTCAACTTTTGAAATCAACATCAGCAGCCTCTTTTCATTCTCCATTATCTCAACTATGATCAGAAATATCCTTTTTTTTTTTTAACAGCAAATTTAGATTTGGAAAAAAACAAAAATTCCAAGAAGGTAAATCCAAACAGCAGAAAACCTGACATGCTTAGATAAAGCAATTGAAAACTTGCACAAGAATGCGACAACACTACACAAGCTTATTCAATAACATATCACTTTGTTGTTCATGCATGTTCATTAAAGTCCTTTCTGACTGACTACCAAATAACTTCAAGGCTGCACAACCAGTTCTCAAGAGATTCAAAATGGACGTGTACTTTCAGGACAGATTATTTTATTCATATACATACACAAAATTGACATTAAATAATTTTTTTAACAATACAAAGCATAAATATATCTTGAAAAAATGGAGACATTGAAATTAATTGTCGAAAGAAAAAGGCTAATTCCTTTTAAGCAACCAGCAAATTTTTTGATCAATTCCCAACGAAAAGGATCAATAATAAGTTTAAAAAATTAAAGAATAAAACAGAATTTCCAATAAAAACATTTTAAAAAATGCATAAATCAAAATATATTAGAAAAAATGTAAATGGTTTATTTGACATTTCTAATCTGATTAGATGCCCTTAAGATATTTCGATGATATTTCTAATCTGATTAGATGCCCTTAAGATATTTCGATGATATTTCTGATTAGATGCCCTTAAGATATTTCAATGATATTTCTAATCTGATTAGATGCACTTAAGATATTTCAATGATATTTCTAATCTGATTAGATGCCCTTAAGATATTTCAATGATATTTCTAATCTGATTAGATGCCCTTAAGATATTTCAATGATATTTCTATTCTGATTAGATGCCCTTAAGATATTTCGATGATATTTCTATTCTGATTAGATGCCCTTAAGATATTTCGATGATATTTCTAATCTGATTAGATGCCCTTAAGATATTTCGATGATATTTCTAATCTGATTAGATGCCCTTAAGATAATGATATTTCTAATCTGATTAGATATTTCTAATCTGATTAGATGCCCTTAAGATATTTTCGATGATTTTCTAATCTGATTAGATGCCCTTAAGATATTTCGATGATATTTCTAATCTGATTAGATGCCCTTAAGATATTTCGATGATATTTCTAATCTGATTAGATGCCCTTGAAGACATATCTAATCAGATATGATTAGATGTCCGTAAAAGACATTTCTAATCTGACTAGATGTCCGTAAAAGATTTAGATGACATTTCTAATTAAATTAGATGTCCTTAAAAGATATTTCTAATATTACAGACAATTACCACAGCACAAAGTTTAAAAAGAAAAGATAAAAAAAAACAATTCGCTGTCTAGAAGACGCCAGATTTACCGCTTGATAGTTGACGGATTATTTGCAGGGTCAAATACACAAATTCAGAACACTAACCAACAGTAACAAATGACAAAACACTAATATACAAATTAACAAGATTTAATTATAACTAGACAATGCATGAAAACATTTAGGCAAGAGAATCCATGGAAAGATGTATACTATACATTTTCTGTGTGGAAAGATGTATGCATTATTTTGTGAGGGTAAAAGTTGAAACAAAAATGAAGCTTCAGTTCTTTTTCTGAAATAAAATATGATTTTCTTTTTTCTCTGATGTTTCTTGTTTTTTTTTTACTTTCAAATCAGTTTGTTCATTCTAGAAGCAGTGTCCTTTGATCTATTCTTCTTTCTTCAATGTCATCTTCGTTAGTCGGTTGTGAAGGTTCATTCAATTACGGAGAATCGGTACTATGTAAGTCGTATATTTAGCTGTGCAGAATTCATAATTTCATCAGGCATGGAAACAATTTTCTTTTTGAGAAAATTTGGAAAAACAATTGAGACATTGCTCTACTTATTGAACCATTTAGTTCATGCCAAAAAAAAAAAAAAAAAAAAAAATAAAGTTGACAAACACCTACAACAAAAAAATTCTTAAATTCCAATATTAGTAAAAAAACGTTCACACTTAAATTTTCGAAAGTTCAACCTTAGCGTTGCAATTGCATGCTCAATAAGTTTGTATCTATTATCAATAACACACTTTAAAAAAAAAAAAAAAAAAAATTCAATTTGCATTATATTTTTTCATCTCAAATGTTACCTGAATTTTACCAAAAAGAAAATAGTTTCCATGCCTGATGATGACTGGAGAACCTGTCGAAACTACTTGCATATTTAAGGAAGACCTAATACAGTTTATAATTTTAAAAAACAAGGATCATAGCATTCATTGAGTGGTTAGTAGATTAATGCATTTTTAAAATTTAGTTAGTGAAGTGAATTCACCATTTTATCTCATTAACTTTACTAATTTACTTTTTGTATGAATGATTCATTGTAATATAAATTAAACTGCACCACATATTATATATATATATATATATATATATATATATATATATATATATATATAAAAACACAAGTTGGCCATTGACTCATATAAGAAGCTCATTCACCCTTTGTCAGGTCTTGTTTTTCATCCTGTGGGGTTAACATGCCACACTCCTCACTAGCAAAAAATCTAGCTGGGGAAGTGGTTTAGATGCCAATCACCCATCCATATGGCAAGACGTACTGGGTTGCATGTTACCAGTAGCAGGCCTAAGCCTGACCTGAGAAAAATATTGAAACTGCAAATATCAATCAAAAACCCTGAAATTATTTTAAACTAGCTTAAAAGTTGCACCCAATGTAGACTTGAAAGTGAGCTCCTATGGGATGCCTCTGGTCCAGCTTAGAAAACGGTAATGATAATTTTGAAGGTATAACTTTGAATTCCTCAATTCACTCCATGGAACTTCAAAGCCAATATTTAACTCTGATCCTGGCTGAAAGTCTGATTTGGGACAAAAATGCAGTTAAGCCTAAAAATTGAGTTCTTCAAATCACAAACTCCATAGAACTTCAATTGAGTCGAGTTCTACAAATCTTGAATTTTGTGAAACTTCAAAACTTCACATCACAAAACCTCTCAATTTAACTTAGATTCCTTGGCATTTTGAAAAAATAGAATTGATTTTAAAATTTTTTGAGATATTTTAAACTGTATTTAAAACAAAAATTTTTAAATTCAAAGTTTTTGTGTTATTTTAAACTCAATACAAATTGAAAACTTAAAATATCACTAATTTTTTGGGTTAATTTTTAAATGTTGCCTTCTCATTCAGACAAATCCCAATGCTGGATGTTCAGGCACCAGATGATGGGCAGATTTTCAATCTCAGAATCATCCTAATTCTAAAAAGGTATAATATGTCTATGTAGAGCTACTCTGGCCCGAGTTAGGAGGATTTCAGACATACGAATGGACAGACAGATTTTGCCATTTATTTAAATATACTTCAACCAATTCAAGGCTCAAAAGCCACTCAAAATAGAGGGTTACAGTCAAAATAGCAAAGAAGAACAAGGTGTGTGATATGGTAAGAAACGAAGATATAAATCGAGGTTTTGGTTTTTGTAATATTTTTAAATTAACGTATTTTCAGCAATTATCTAGTGTTTTATTAAATTTTAGTTACTTATATATTTATTTACATTTTTATCAAAATAACTCCCACAAAAAAGAATAAACTTAAAAACGTAAAAAGTAAAAAACTACTAACAAAAAAAAATTACTTAATTGAAATTTGCTTTTTAACACCCGCGCTAAATATCTCTTAAAAATTTCCCAAATCATCATAATTCAATGTAAATGTACATGCTGAACACGAATTAACAATTAAATTATGAAGAAACCTACCATTTTGGAGTTATCGACAAGAAAAAAATCGGACTTCTTGGCTATTCATCCATCATTACTGCCATAATGTACAGTCATTTAGTGCAGGATACATATATCGGCGAAAGCCGAAATTTTGGCCTATTTACTTCTTTTACAGACTTTTGGTGCAAAAAATCACTACGCATTACCACAGGTTTCTTATTTTAATTGTTAATTCTAGTTCAGTATGTATATTTACACGGAATTATGACGATTTGGGAAAATTTTAAGAAATATTTAGCATTTCATTGAAGTAATTTTTTGTTTAAGTAAGTTATTAAATAAGATAAGAAAGGGAACCCAGACTAAAAAAAAGTATTGAATAAAAAATAATTGCTGAAAAAAAATGTTAATATTTTAAAAATTACTAGTTAAAAAAAAAAAAAAATTCGCTCGCTTACATTTCGTAAAATTATATACATTTTGGTCATCCATAGTAGCTTTCATTACCTCGTAACTTCTCAATAACATCGATAACGTGAATAAAGACATGAAAAAATTCAGACACATCGTTAAGAAATGTTTGGATATAATTTTTTTATGTAATAAGTAAGTAATGTTTGTTTCAAATCAGATTAATTTAACTTTAAATTTAATTTTACTCAAATGACGTGTCAAAATATATACAATTTATTTTAGGAAAAAGTTTAAAATCGAAAATTTTTTTGTTTGCAAATTTCTTAAAATTTAAGAAAATGGCCGCTTTCAAGAAATTTAAAAAAAAAAAAAACTCGAGCATATATTTGACATTCCAATCTATGTAATTTCTATCTGAAATACACCAGAATATTTTACTTGCTGGAAATAATAAATTTAATCCTTTAGCTTTCAATTAAAGCTAAAATAAAATCTTTAAGAATGCTTTTTCATTTTTAAAAATTCATTTTAAAACTTAGGTATCGAAAAATTGAACGGGGGTAAAACTTTCAATAAAACAAATTTTGAGACTGCAATTTATTAATTTAGGTACAACTTTTTTTGCTAAAAACAGTATGAAAAAAACGCCTCCAACTTAATATAAACAAAGTTTTATTGTCCAAATTTGTTAGGAAAGACCAAAGTATGTTTTTATATTTTTTTAATTTTTTACTCCTTTCTAACATGTTCGAAATTTTCATGTTTTTTTTTTTTTTTTTTTTAATGTCAGCGATGTAAAAGATTTGGTAATGGATATTTTCAAACTTATTTTCCGGTAAAAATAACACAATTTGGAAAGTCTTGCAAAAATCAAATAATAGTCGGATTTTAATGGAACTTTCAGGACTTATTCACAAATGAATAAAATTGTTTTTAAAATTATTATTTTTAAGAAAATCTTGGTAAGAAATATTCGTTTTTTTTTTTTTTTTTAACATCTGCTAAAAAAAACCCACTACTTACTTAATTTCGTGAAATTTTCAAGAATTTCAAATGGTAAAAAAATGTTTTTTATTAGTTAAAAAGTAAAACTCCCTGGAGCATGTAAAAAAATCAATTTTTTTTCCAAACTCTTACCAAATTCCCTAAAATAAAAACAGCAATAAAAATAATTATTTAATTAGATCTAATTAAATAATTATTTTTATTGCTGTTTTTATTTTACGGTTTGGAGCAGATTTTAATTGCTTTTAATAAGGACATTAGTCTGAAAACAAAAAAAAAATTTCGATGAATAATGAATTTTTGCAAGAATTGTTTGCATTTTTCTTTTTAATTTATAAAATTTCAAAAATGTTTTAAAAATTCTTCCAAACATTGTCAAAGTTAGTTTATTAAGTGAAGACTATATTTACTAAGTGAAAATTGAAAACCTTAATACAAATCATCACACCAAAAATTATTAAAATTATTTTTGTAAAAATTGTGTCTCTAAATGTTCTTTTTTTTTCCCTAAGTATTGTTTTTCATAAAGTAACATTATTGTTAAAAGGGCCACATTTTCAAGGGTTGTCCCCCTTACATTTTTGGCTGTGGGCAACTGTTTCATTTAATTTGTGAGGATGGTTAAAAAGGCAACTGAAAAGAAAAACTGCCATTTTCAGGGCCGGAAAATATTCTGAAAAGACTTATAAGTGTTGTATCCTAGCAATTTCTTTTCATATGTTGTTCAGAGGCACTGGATTATTCTTAAATAAGTAATAAAATTAAAAATTTAATAAATAAAATAACTTTAACTGAACATTTCATAACCATCAGGATATAACTAAAGCATAAAATGAAAAATTAAGATTGTAAAAATATAAATTAATAATAAATGCAATAAAATTTCAAATTACTGAGTTACCAGGCAATGATAGAGGTAACTAGTCTCTATCATTGCATTTTCTCAATTATTGAATTAAAAAGTTAATAACCGAGATATTATAATTAATATAATTATTATTGAGTTATTAAATTAAAAATGTAATAACTGTGATAATATAATAATTAATAAATTATTTTATTATATTATCTCGGTTATTAAATTTCTAATTTAATAAATAGGATAATTAATAAAATGCCATATGAAGAAATTTTTATATTTTAAATTTTATTTTCAGAAATCATCTTCAAACGTAAGGTTAAGTATCTAAAAAATATTCAATAAAATATTAGATAATTGCTTAAAATATTTTGTTAATTTTGAAAAATTTACCTGGTAGAAAAACAAACCGTTTTTACTTAGAATTCGTAAATTTGTCAGTTTTCAATTTTCATCCACCATATTTTTTTCAATGTCGATGGAGACGTGAGAATAACAAAACCCCATGGTTAAGAAATGCTTGTATACAACATATGCTATAAGTAAGTTAAAGAAAGTAATATTTGTTTCATAACAGAGTAATTTAACTTTAAATTTGCTAATTTTCCGCAAATAACGTTTCAGACATTTAGTTTTGCAAAATTTTTAAAACTGGGAATTAACTTTTGTTTATATAGCCGTTTCGATTGTTTTTTTTTTTAAAACATGAATTGACTAAAAATTAATCTAATTTCTATTTGAAATACACTAGTATTTTGCTTTCTGGAATTAGAAAATTTTTAATCCTTTAGCTTTCAATCAAAGCGAAAATGAAAGCCTCAAGAAAGATTTTTCATTTATGAAAATTCATTTACTTTAGGTATACAGAATTATTGGAGATTTAGGTACCTTCACTTGTTCGGTGAAAAAACAGCATTGCTCATTAGCATGATTAGAAAAGACCCCAAACTTAATAAAAACAAAGTTTTATCGTAAAAATGTTTATGAGGAAAGACCAAAGTATTTTTTATTATTTTATTAAAATTTTTGATCCTTTCTAGCACGTTCAAAATGTTGGGGATTTGTTTGTTTGTTTTTTTATGTCAGCGGTCGCGTAATATTTACTAGTTTTTAGCGCGTTATTTTATTTTTTTTTCTCCTCTCAGGTGAAAAATACAATATACATTGATTTGAAAATTCTTGCAAAAATAAAATAATTGTCGGATTTTAATGAAACTTTCAGGACTTATTCACAAATGGATAAAAAAAAAAGTATTTTTTAAAGAAAATCTTGGTAGAAAATATTTTTATTTATTTAGTTACCCCCTACATGAACTTTTCATGAAATTTCGATAAATTGCTGCATTAACTAACAACTCTTTTTTTTCTTTTTTTAAGAATAACAATGATTTGTTCCAAATACAAAACAAGTCCTAACTAATTTATGATGTTATCCCATAACTGGAAATGGATTCATTTTTAGTTTAGTTTTTCTCAATGGTATTTGCGTGGAAATGAATATGCAACGAACCAGACTGGAATTTTAAAAAATCCAACACATAAAAAAATATTTACCCGAAGCATTTATTTTTAAAGATTAAGTTTTTGGGCGAAATTATTGTAATTTGATTTTTTTTAAAGAGAATGATAGAAACAGCTTGCAAAAAATATTAACAAGGCAAAGTACGTAAACAAACGACACTTAGTGTGGATCAGAGATTTCATTTCATTTATTATCTTACTATTATTGTACGTATGAATTGTCATACGTACAATAATCACTGACATTTCTTTAATCAAACTGTTTAAATTTTCGTGTTTGTTTTTGCTAACAACCAAGAAGATCATGGGTCCGATTTTTTTTAAATTAACAAGAAACCCATTTTGCCCCTACACACCTTTTTAAACTAAAGCGACTTACTAATTCTATCTTTTCAACCATGCTATTCACTTTTTAGTTAAAGTCACACAGAAATTATTAGCATAAGACTGAGATTTTTTATATATTGTTATCATAAACAAAGAATAATTTAAATAAAATAGACATCGAAAAATTAATTTTTGAATCGAAAATGAAAATAACAAAAAGAAAGTAAACTGATACCAAGTACGGAATGCCATATTAATAAAATCTTTATTAATGTACAAACTGATTTTTAGGCATTGTTGGTATGATTGTCACTTTATTACCTTGACAGCTTTAGGCTCTCGTCCTTCTCGGTACGACGGTCGAGTTGTACAGAATTCTTGTTTCACGTGGTGAAGTGGAATCGACGCCATAGTTTTGTAAACAACTGCTCACCTTGAGTTTGACCAGTATTTCACAGGTCCTCATAAGGATAATACTACTTTTTTGTGAAAAAAAAATGTAGAGATAGATAAAATGCAAATTAAATATTTTATTTATTTCTACATACCAAAATTAAAACATTATTCAACCGCAAAATGTCTATTTCTTTACTGTTAATGGTTAATATTTTATTGAATTTCCCTTGAAAACATTAAGTTTACCAAATAACAAAAACCACATTATTGCTCAAACACTTTCACACTAAAAAAATAAATATAAAAAAAACTGTTTAGCACATGTAAATAGAATGGAAAATAATGTCATAATTAAGAGTCTGACTTACCACCCAACTTGGAACAAAAGTTTAGGAAAGAAACTTCCATCTATACTATTTTAAGACTATTTTAAGAGAGAGATTTGTAGGAAAAATTATATATTAAGGACATTAATCTGAAGAAAAAAATTTTTTCAATGAATAATGAATTTTTACAAGAATTGTTTGTATTTTTATTTTTAATTTATAAAGTTTCAAAAATATTTAAAAAAATTCTTCCAAACATCGTCAAAGTTGGTGTATTAAGTTATTAAGTGATGACTTGTTGCGGGTTGAACGACCTTGAACCAACCCATACTATTTTTTTTTTTTACTTTACAAATGTACTAACAAGGAATAAGCAAACAAGAAAAATAACATTCAAGAAAGAAAAATTGCATAAGTAAATGAAATTTATATATGCATAACAAATTGTACAGACAGTAATTCAGTTGTGTTTGAAATGCTGAAATTTACTTGTTCTTGGAATTTTGAGTGAGGAAAATGTTCCTATGATAAAACTGTGGTGTGTAATAAAAGTGTGTGAGTTTGGAGAACTTTAGTAAGATGTAGTTACTTGTAAGAGAATTGAACAGTTTGTTACTCACAATGTTATGTGTTTCTATAGTTGAAAGAACAATGTTTAAATATAGCAGGAGTTATTTACCTTGAACTGCTTAAGATGAGTTCAAAGAAACTTGTTGAGTGGGGAAAATTGTAGGCTTTGCTTGAAAATCGAGAAGTTGTATTTGGTACTAAAAATGTAGGTTTTAGTTTAATATCTCCAAGTTGAAAGTCAGCATAAATATATTGAAGTATTTTGCCGCTCAAATTCGTTCACCGTAGAGGAATGACATTGGTTGAGATGAATTGAGTGAATGTGTTCTGGGAAGCTGAGATTTGACGTAAAATTTCTCACTGGTAAAAAATTGATAAGAGTCGAAAGTTGTATTCTCTTGGATGGCATGTTGTTTGCTGATGAAAATCTCACTGTTAGAAGTTGATAAGTTTCTGTGTCCTTGTGATTGAAAGAGTGAACAGATATGTGTGTGTGCGTGTGCGTGTCATGACATTTCATAGCGTTCCCCCCTAAGGGACAAAAATGCAATTTTTCCACAAAGCTTACATCGCTTGCAGATGAGAGAAAACAAGAGGAAAAGTTGAAGATGTGTCCAAATATTTACAAGTAATGTGAATCACGTGATAGGCTCACAAACACATAACCAAATTTTGGCAGTAAATTAGATGTTGTAATGTTTTTCACATATATTAGCCAAACAGGAATTGGAGAATTATTCAAGACTTGTGTGATCCACTTTGGTGTTTAGTTTGTACAAAATAACACAATAAAGTGGTAACAGAATGCTAAAGGCTATATTTACTAAGTAAAAATTAAAAAGTTTAATACAAATCATTACACCAGAAATTTTTAAAATGATTTAAAAAATTTTTGTGAGTCTAAATGTTCTTTAAGTATGGTGTTTCATATGTGACATTATTGTTAAAAGGTCATGTTTATCAAGGGTTGTTCCCCTTATGGATAAACATTTTTGGCTGAGGGCAATTGTTTCATTTAACTTCTGAGAACAGTTGAAGAGGCAACTGAAAAGAAAAACAAAATATTCCAAGAAGTCTTATAACTGTTATACAGGGTAGCAGTTTTTTTTTATATATATATTGTTTGGGGTATTGGATAATGCTTAAATAAAATAAGTGTGCAATTGCCTAAGTAATAACAAAATATATATACTTAAAAAAATAAATAAAAAAAACTTGTTTGGCATATGTAACTAGAATGGAAAATAATGACATAATTAAGATTTTGCCTTACCACCCAACTTGAAACAAAAGTTTAGGAAGGATACTTCCATCTATACTGGAAAGATTTATGACTGTGAAATTGAGAAGACTATATTCCTGAAAGACTATTTTAAGAGAGAGATTTGTAAGAAATTCAGTAGTAAATTCAGTCATCCATTTTTTTTATGTATTATTTATATTACAAATCTGAATGTCTGAATTCCAAACAATAATAAAATAAAAATAAAGAAAACATGGTATGCCTGTTAAATAAATTGTTTGTATTTACAAACATATATGCATGAATTTGAAAGAATTAAAAAGTATTAAAAGCAGTCTTTAGTTGAATTGAAGTCTTTGGGTAGTTAGTACACAGAAAAATCTGTAGTTTAGAAATGACTTTTAAATAGTTGGTTGTTACTTAGTTTCTTTAGTCATATTAACGAATAGCAGTCTTTACAAAAAAAAAAAAAAATCTTGTCTCCACTTCCAATTTCTCTCTGCCCTCTACCATAATTGTATGCCGCCTTTTAAAATGGGTGGTCTTCCTCATATGCAAATGACCGATGTTTATAAAAAGTCTCAATATCACGCATGCACCTTTGACCTCTTGTAAATGGTAGTTTGGCAGGCTAGAAATCTCAGACGCTTTGCATCAGGTAAATACATATATCTATTGTCAACAGCAATAAGCTTTTATCATTAGCAAAGATTCACTGACTGTCATTGTTGTTATTGTTGTCGGAGAAATTTCATTTGAAATTGCCAATCAGCCATCCATGCTGTTATTGTAGCTGATTTGTTTGAAGTAGCAGACATTTTTTAACCCAATGCCGGCAGTTGAGACAGTCACTTCTCTGATCTGTGAAAGTTGAAATCTGTTGATTTTTTTTATAAGAAATTTTTTCCAAAAGTAGATTTGAGAAAAAAAAGGGTTTTAGTTTTCTTCGATTGGTCAAATATTTCTTATGATGACGTTAATTTTTAATCAATAGACATCTTAATTTAAATGGTGGAATCTTTTTTGTTTGTAATATTGTCTGTTATTGGGTAGAAAATAAACTTTTGATGTGTTTTAATATGGTACATATGTGTGTATGTATAATTGTGTTGGAAATAGGGTTTATTTCTTATAAATTTTATAAATTTTAACCAACAGTTTTAACTGTTTGGTCAATGAATGCTGAATGTTTTCTATATGAAAACTATTGTATTGTATTGTATTGTATTGTATTGTATTGTATTGTTCTATGACACATGATTAGTAATCAACTTCTGTCTGTCTCTTAATTTACTGTAGACTTTATATCTCTTCTACTTAACATATGCAAATAGGTACAGTCCTATTTACCAATCAACTACAAAAGCATTAATTTCACCATTACTATTATTATTGCTATTACCATTGCTGTTACCAATGGCTTGTGTTCAAGCAATATTGAGAGTTACAGGAATAGAGAAACAATATTGCTTAACCAAAAACGTCATTCAATTTATTGCATAAAAATAAAGATTTTTTTAAAATTAACTTTATTATTATTATTATTATTATTATTATAAATAAATAAGAATAAAATATAGAATAATAATAATGAAAATTATAAATAAAATAAAATAAAACAATATTTAAACTTTTTTTTAAATTAAATTAAATAAAAATAAAGATAATAAAAATACTTCCAGCATGCAACAAAAAGTGTTCCTGTCGGAAATACAGACATCCTGCCAAAAGATATTAAATTCAATCTCTTGGTACAGGCAACACATGTCTGACTTCCCTTTGTGATATGGTGTGTAATAATATGAAGTAACTTCTTTCTCTCATTACATGTACCATAAAACAATTGTTACCTAAAAAATACAGACAAGAAAAATATAAATAAATTGTATGAAATTAACGTACAATCTACCATGCTTTCCTGCTATTTCTGTATGTTTTATTTCCTGTCAAGTATGTTTTTATCTCTGTGAACACAAAGATAATTTTTGCTGATATGATGTGAATGAATCCCCAGACTATACAACATATTTACCATTTTGTTCTATTCCAAAATCTTTCAGTCAACTTCTTGATTTCATCCTCCCAGAAAACTTACTTTCTCAGCAAACAACTGTACTATATGTATTTTACAATTTTGCAGGGAATTGAATTTTTTTTTTATTAAGACAATTTTTTTATCGCGTTATTTTTGGTGGATGCTTAGATTTAAGTAGACACTCAGTTTATTTATTAAATGGTAGATTTATTTATTTTTGTCACAATGTTAAAGAAATCTTATTAAAGATAAATTTACACTCTCTGACAGGAATTGAATTTGTGTCCCTCTGGGCAAAGGGAGCTATCATTAAATCTGATAGGCTCTGACCAACTCAGCTAGAGAGAACTAATTTGTCAGACAAGGCTGAATTGTATCTTTGTGAAAACTTCTCTCATCATCAATCTCCCAAAAGTTTTTGTATTTATACAATTTCATATCCAAGCATAAACAAAGAAAACTTTCTGTCAGGTTAATAAAAATCCATTACTTTCTCTAAAAGTGGGTGGTGGGGGTAACATATGTAAAAACAAATATTTTTTACCAAGATTTTCTAAAAAAGAAATTTCAAAAATAATTTCATTCATTTGTAAATAAGTCCTGAAAGTTTCATTAAAATCTGACAATTATTTGATTTTTGCAAGAATTTCCAAATCAATGATTTTCACTTAGAAAAAACATGCAAAAACACTGATCATAAATATTACCTCAACTGCTGATATAAAAAAAAAACAAGATTTTTAACCAAAATTTCGAACATGCTAGAAATGATTAAAAAATTTAATAAAAGAATACTTTAGTTTTTCCTCTTAATAATAACATAAACATTTTGATGATAAAA